CGAACGCGGTGGACGATGGAGTCGCTGGCGAACGCGGTGATGACGACGATCCCGCCGAACGCGATCGATCGTCAGCGCGTGTGCGAGGTGATCGCGCGCGCGGAGAGCGCGCGATTGGGTGGACGGAATCGAGACGCGGCGAGGATGTTGATCGACGTCGGGAGCGCGTTGTATCGGTTGCAGGCGGATCAGGCGATCGCGGTGGCGGAACAGGCGTTTCAGGGGGCGGTGATGTACGCGCGAATGGTGGACGCTGAGACGCCGGAGTACATGAAGTGCGCGACTGAGGGGTCGAATTCGGAGTTGGGAGACGCGTACACGCTCTTGGCGAATTGCGAACGGGCGCTCGGGAAGATGCAAGACGCGGAGGGACACTACAAGGCGGCGGCAAAGGCGGTGGAGGACGACGGGTTAGAGGCGTACGCGAATAAGTTCGTGCATAGGGTGATGGTGTGTCGATTGAAGAAGGATTTCGAGCGGCATGGACAGCTGTGCGACGCGTGGGAAGAGACTATTCGCAAGGCGGCGGCGGACGGGGTGGAGAGCGATAGCGCGCTCTTGGCGGCGACTGGAATCTGCCTCATGGAGCGCGCGGGAGGACTCGCGGATCAGGGCAAGTTCACAGAAGCGGTGGAACTGAGAAGTGGGAAGTTTTTAGAGACTATCATACGCATGCAGGCACACGGTTTGCGCACGAAGCCGGACGTCTTACTGCCGAACGTGTACGATTCCATCGCCGCTCTGCATCTCAAGGCAAAGAATAAGAAGAAGGCGCTTGACTTTCTTCGCAAGGCTGTCGTATCCACCGCCTGCACGGAGGGCTTCAGGGACAAGTGCTTACCCGAAGGTGAGGCGCGCGGCATACGATGCGCGAGCACCTGGGATGACGTGCGCTGGCACCCATCGCTCCTCGTGTCTAAGAAAGGTGCAGAGTCGGACGAGGTGGATGTCGTACCGAAGCGACCGTGGGAGATGACCAAGGAGGAAAATGCCATGCTTGATCAAATATACGCCGCAGGTGAAAATTGGGCGCTAAAGAAGGGGAAAAAGGGCGGACCACCGCCCGAGCGAGGAGCGACACCACTCGGTCACATTTTGTACACGCTCGCCAACCAATACGCACAGGCAGAGATGTGGCCCGAAGCCGTGCGTCCCTTGATCGCGGGCGCTTACATGTTCCAAAACGACGTGGACATGCAGGGTGACTGCTTCCACTTGCTCGGTATCGCGCACTTTCACGAGGCGGGTCACAGTCCGGAAAAGAAAAAGGAGATTTTGCCTCTCGCGGCAAACGCCTTTGCCCTTGCCGCTGATACGAGAATCACGGACGGGAAGACGACACAAAAGGGGGCCACTGAGGCAATCAACTCTCTCTTATTCCTCGGCCGATGCATGTTCGAGCTCAACGAATTTGGCCAGGCGGAAGCCGTCACAGCGCAGGCCATCTCGCTCGGCCGACAGGTGCTCGGAGACAACGCGAAGTCCACCGCCGAGGCGATTCGAGCGATGATGGAGCTCAAGAAAGCAATGTCGACGCGATAGGACGAGTTCTCTAGACTTTGAAGGCAATCGACCGTTATTCACATCACAGGATTCCAACCGCGCCTCCTCGTCGACGGATATTTCCTGATGAGTCAGCGCGACGCCCATGTTCCCACATTGCGCCATAAAGTAGCAGCCGAGCGTCAACGGATTGTGCTCGCGGGTCGTTACGCCTCCGCGCGCCCCGCCCCGTCGCATCGCCGCGCCTCGCCGCGCCCCGAGCGATCGCCCCCGTCGCGCTCAACCGCGCGCGTCGTCATGACGGCCCGATCGTTCCCGATCGCTCAACGCGCGCGCCCCGAAACGCGCACGATTGGGACAACGTTGCTCATCGCCGCCGCGCTCGTCAGCCGCGCCTCGCGCGCGCGCGGTGCGGATCTCGTCGAACCCAACGTCGCGCGATCGGTCTCGAACGTGCTCACGGAGACGCTCGTGGTGGAGGAGTACACGTACGCGACGACGACGCCGTCTGTGTTTAGTTTCAAGACGCGTGGATACTTTGGAGCGACGGCGGACGCGTCGACGGCGGCGGATCAGACGCTGAGCGATCTGAAGATCGGACCGACGCTGAAGTTCGCGGCCGGGGATCGAGTGAACATCTTACTGGATAATAAACTCGAGCCTAACACCGACTCGGTGGTGATGAATACGTATCACACGCCCGGGACGACGAATTTGCATATGCACGGTTTGCACATCAGCGCCTACGACCCGCACGACAACGTGTTGATCAAGGTTGAACCGGGGAGCACGCGTCAGTACGCGTACGATATCATCGCTGATCACGCCGCGGGTACGCACTGGTATCACGCGCACGCGCACGGATCGACGGCGCTCCAAGTGGGCGGTGGACTCGTCGGGGTCATCATCGTGGAGGACGGCTCAGACGAAATCCCCGCCGAGTATCAAAACCTGGATGAAAAGGTGATGATGATCCAATACATGCAATTTGAAGATGTGAGACGAATCGCAGCGACCAGTGGTATGGGCGAAAGTCACACGAGCTCTTCGACGGCGTCTATAGCGGACATGTTCACGACAAACGGGCAGTACGCGCCAACGATCAAGATCGATCAAAACGAGTGGACACGTCTTCGCATGGTTTTCATGGCTCTCGATAAAGTCGTCGAGTTCACGCTTGGAAGCGCCGCGGCCGGCCTCGGTTGCGAATGGACCCTTCTCGCCAAGGATGGTATATATGTTGACAACGCTCCACGCGCTTTAACAAACGTGTACATGGCGCCTGGTAACCGCGCCGACGTGCTCATTCGATGTACAACCGTGGGTTCGTTTACCGTAGACAGCGTTGGTGGCGCTTCGGGCCGTGGCCCACCATCGAAGAACATCGCCACGACGGTTGGTGCCCTGAATTTCCAAGTCGTCTCGAGTGCAAGTTCCGCGACGACGCTTACACCGTTCAATGCAAAGTTGCCCAACTACCTCGCCTCCGTCACCGCTTACGCCGGTTCAGGTGCAGTTGAATCACACACACTGCAATTTTCGCCTGTAGCCGGAGGTGGATGCAATGTCAACTACGATAACGCCGGCGCTGCGGCGTATACCGCAGTGTCCCTCGGGAACATCCCAGCGGGCTCCGTGCAAACGTGGTCGTTGTCAGGATCGGATAGACACCCGTTCCACATTCACGTCAACCCGTTTCAACTCGGAAGCGTCACCGATACCTCGGGACTGGCGAATCCTTACTTTTTCATGGGTGACTGGCACGATGTGATGTATGTACCTTCTGGATATTCCATTCCACAAGTGCACTTCCACACAGCAGACTTCACGGGCAAGGTTGTCGCACACTGTCATTTCCTCAATCATGAAGATCAGGGATGTATGGGATTTTGGGAGATCACGGGCGATAATGGGACGGTTGTGTCGGATTTGGCCGCCAGAGCGATGACGACGGTCGTTTCCCCGCCACCGTCACCATCTTCAAGCGGTACCGTTCATGTCGCGAGCGTCGCCAGAGCATTCGCCCTCTGCGCATTGGCCACTTTATTTGCGTATGCTTAGTTCACCTCACCAGCTGGTGACAGCCTGAGTAGGATAATACTGATGTTAGTAGTTGCGAGAGTTTGTACTATATGGCATTTGTACCGGTACCTTTGGTAGTTACACTCAACTAAACCGTTTCTTTGCGATTTTCGTTCCCCTCGCTTGAGTCTTCCTCAGCAGTCACGTCCTCCTTCGGAGTTACCGCAGAGAGAGGCAAGAACTGTTGGGACGCTCTCAGGAGCCCTAAATAGGCGAGCAAGTGCAGGCCTATCTGCAGTAAAAACTGGGCCATGATGAAGATTCCAATTTTCACGTCAGCAAATGCGTACAGTTCGAGCACGTCTTTACCAGTCGTCAAGCATCTGCCGTCGGACGCATCGCACGAGAACGAAAGGTCATCACCGCCAAACTCATTCGCCACCAGCGCACCATACGCGTAATATATCGGGTTGATGAAACGAATCCATTTCGCGCCGTCTGGAATCGAGTTCATGTTCAGGTAAATGCCACCAAACAGTGAAAAAATTGTGATGAATGCAGGACCGAGCGCGAGCGCGGCGCCGACAGGCATGGCCGAAGCCATGAGCAAACCTGCCGCCGTCATAGACATGACTTCGGTGATGACTACGGCGACGAAAACCCAAAAGTTGTACGCAGATCTACGAAGTCCCACGACCCAGTAGATCAGACTCGTGTACGCTAGTCGGGAAATCAATTTGGGAAGTTCGGCGACGTACTTGCTAACGTAGTACGGGGCCCACTGGTATGCGCCGGATGAGCGCTCTCTGACGACGATGGCCTTCTCCACAGAGAAGACATTGATCACAGGTAGCGCCGCCGTGTACGCCACGTTTAACGTGACGAAGAATAGGCAGCCGATCCGGTCTTGAATGCCCTTCTGGTCATATCCAACACCTCTAAACAACACGGCGGCAATCGCGGCGTACACCAGCTCGATAACGAGCGTCACTCCGACACCGATGACGTTTCTGCGCTGATTTTTAGATCCCCGCTGCGTGAGAAGAATGAACTGCTTGATCCATGACGCATGTGTTGTATCTTCATCGTCCCGCGTCGAGGCGGCCATGGTCCTCGCGCGATGCTTCTCTAGACTTCGTTCGATAGCCTTCTCGCCGAGCCTCCTCTCCGCGGCCTCGGCGGCGAAAAACTCGATCCTTGCTCTTGATGATTTTTCTCGTTCCGGATTTCGAACGTCGACGGATGTGATATCCATGAAGAAGTCCGCCGGATTTGTCAAATGCGGGCACTCAAACTTGAGTTGCGAAAAATACTCTACGGCTTGCTGCGCATCTCCGATGTACAGCAAGCGTCCCTCGCTAATGAGCAAGAGCTGCGTGAACATGGCGTAGATCGACGATCGAGGTTGATGAATCGTGCACACCACCGTTCTTCCCGTCTGCGCGAGCGCGCGTAGGGCGAAAATGCACCGCTGCGCCTGAAACGAGTCCAACCCTGAGGTCGGCTCATCTAAAAAAATTGCCTCGGGATCGCCAACGAGCTCGACCCCGATGTTCACCCGCTTCCGCTCTCCACCCGAAACCCCGCGCGGGATCGACCCAGGGGCTCCGACGGGAGACTGCCGCACCTTTGTCAATCCCAGCTCGCCGATAATCTCCGACACGCTCGCCTCGACCTGCGCCTCCGTCAACGCCGCCCGCC